AATTAAAAATATCATTTAAATTGTATTGACTAATCATTTTTTGCAGTCTGATGCATTCTTCATCCAGAATCTCTATTGGTGCACTTTGACCTTCTCCTGATTTTAGTATATGATATCTCTTCTTAAATTTATTTAGCCATCCATCTGACGCTTTAAAGTTTTGAATTCCAAGAATATTCCTGAAGATACATGCTTTTTGCTTTATGATATCTCCATTGATGGTTAAGTTATCTTGTAATGCTTGAGTAATTCACATAACTAAAGTTTCTTCCAACTTGGGAAAAAAGGCTTGATGGATTTTTTTCTTGCATGCTTCAGATGAAGCCGTATCTATTGAGAGCCATCTGTCCTTATTTAATAGAATATCAGAGATAGTACTCTGTCTTACGCAATACTCGGTCGCTAAGTCAGTTTGAGAAGGTTTTGGTTTTTTGCAATACTTTACACATATCTCACGCTTCTGAGCAAATGTCAGATTTTTACGAGATTTTTGTTGATTAAAAATGTGCTCACTTTTGCGTTTACGATTTTGCAACATCATGCGAAGAGTTGTGTTGTTGGTATAATCTCTAATTAGTATTAATCAATAATATTATAATACCTAATATTGTATAACAGATAAAGCTTTGCTATTGGTATATCGAGCTTAAATTCTTATATGAATGTGACAAAATAATATCAGTTATCGGAATTGTGCGATGTTATATGAAATATCGGGAATTAGAAAAATTATCAGTTTTGACATTTATCGGTTTTCCGAGCTTTGACTGTATATAAAATAAAATTCCTTTACAGTTTAAAATATTTGACTGTTTGCATCATACTATTTTTTTTCGGAATTTTATTTTTTCATTATCAAGCGTAAAGCATTAAAAGCGTGACGTAATCTTGGTGAACGAAAGCATGGACAATAATTTCTATCAACGGAAAACGAACCCAGGAAAACGAGGGAAGCTTCAAGAAGATACAGGGGGATGATGTTAAATAAAATAAAATAGCATTAACACAGTCATCGCTTCCAGTTCGGAGCAGTGGTTGTCATTGGACGGCTTTGGACAAAGTTTGGCCAATTTTTTCAAGCAAAAAAATAGCAATATCTTAAAATGTTATGATAACTGGTTTGAACAATCTAAAATAAAAATGTTTAAAATTTAACATTGTATAAACAGAGTTTGGACATGGACAAGCCAAAAAATGGCTTGGGACATTAAAAATGCACAACACCGCTTGGGTCCGACTGCTTTGCCTACAATGCAATTATTTTTTTCTTGTATTAGTTTTAGTTTGGCCTAATGATCCTTCATAATAAATGAAAATAAAGTTTTTGTCTAACGGAGTTTTTTGATTAACTGCGTCTGTCTTTGATGTTAATTTAACTATTTAATTTTCAATGTCAGTTAAATCTTTCAGAAAAATTTGAAACTGACGAGCAAAATCATCATCTGGGTTTGTTTATAAGTCCCTGTGTAAAACTGAAAAATGTGCTTTATAGTTCACATCATATTCTCTTCAGGCATCTTATGAACCTCTGTCCAAAAAAAAAGATCAGATTCATTCCACCAGAAACCTGCAAGTAATCTAATACCTTCTCAGTTCATACTGTTGCTGTGGATTCATCGAACATAACTTGGTGATGCAATGTTATGTTTTAATGACGTCCAAGGATTTTCCTCCGGGCTTTGCGATACATACACACTAACACTAATTGATTATTTTTCTGTATGTATGTATATTGATGATCGATTCAATCCGTCGGAACAATATGATAAATCATTGTCGAAGTTGTTCTGTTTGCTATACAAGAACGAATTCAAGTTTTCTTTCCCGTTTAGTATTATGTATGTAGTTATTTCACAACTAGTTATTTCACAATTAGAATATTAGCAAATATGAGCTTACCCTTATTCTCGAAGGTAAAGCGGGTGAAAATTCAGATAGTGGGAGTAAATGAATGATTTTGGGATAAATAATCTCTCAATATGAAATAATGATAATATTTCAATAACAGAGACTGTCAAAGGAGTTTCGTGAACTTTCTATGAGTCCTCCCGCCGGCATTGAAGTATTAGAGGCGGATACTTTCAAAAGGTTCAATTAACTTCTCGAATTTCTTTTTACACACCACTGGTTCACCCTAAGAATCCTTGTATTAATACTTTTTATTAATTGATAATGCAAAATTTTAAAAGCTGGAAGTTGTCACTTGAAGGTGTAGAGGGGACTTTATACGCAGGCGAACGTTTCACTTTGGAGGTTCTCTTTACATTCAAAAGTTTTTTATATTTGAGCTTCTAAATTATTTTCCCTTGAATAGGGTAATAATGATTGTTGGATTGCTTGTCATTATTATATAGTTTCGATTCTCCCCTAATTATCCCATGGAATCGCCAGAGGTTAGAATAACTTTAAAAAACTTTTTAAATCTTTGGTGGAGGTTAATTATTAACTAACAAAATCACCATTAAATTTATTAGGTTGTTTTCATAGATAATGTTCCGATACATCCTCATGTAAATATGAATATTTCAAATGTTAATTTGTCACTGATTGACTACGCGAACTAACCGATTTTTTCTTCATTCTTGGGTAGATCTATAGGTAACATGATAAGGGAATTTTTTTATTCCTTGGAACATTTGGAACATTAATCCGTGATAATGTTTCTCATCGCTTTGTCGTTTTACCCTAGGACAGCAATGGACATATTTGTCTGAATGTATTATATGATCAATGGAGTCCCGTATTAAGTGTTAGGTCTGTTTGTTTATCCCTACAATCAATGTTGTCGAGCTGCACTAAGAAGGTATGCACAGAAACATTTTTCGTGGATGAAAGGAAGTATGTCATTCTCACTTTAACATATGATCATTTACATTTATTGGTTATTAAGGAACGGCCGCCAGATGATGGTCGATACACAAAACATGCGAGAATATCGCCCAAGCATACTCAATGGGCTTTTCATGGTACAAAAATACTCTGTTTTTTTTTAAAACTTTTTAGATGATCAAGTAACCGATTATTGCTGTTTTATAGATGACTCAGTCTGACGTTAGCAGCATTTTTTATTTGCACATTATTGTTGATAAATATTTGGATTGTCAAGATTCAGTAGCTGAAGGACGTTGGTGTAGCGTTCATGATTGATTGCTTGTTTAACTGGAATTTTTTTTCCTTATTGATACAAGACCTTTTTTTTTAAATTTTATGTATTTTTTTTTATGGATTTTTTACAGAGGTTCATTGATTTCGAGAATTCGTAATTTGTGGTTTTATTTGCCCGAGTTATTAATATTTTTTAAAAAAAATCATTTTCTTCATCATCATCATCAAATCACATTACACAAAATTGGGGTATGATTCAAATAAATGACCTAATTTATTGTGTACGAATGTTAGATGCTCATGCTCTCAATAATGAAAAAAAAGATAAAATACAATAAAAATACATATTCTATAATTGATATGATTAAATAAATAAAGATCACTCTCCATCCATATGTCCATGCTTCAACGTTTTTACGAATTCTCGATAATCGAAATTCTCAGAGTCATCGATCCCCTGGAAAAATAAATCCAACTATTTTTTTTACAGTTGTGTAGAAAATGGGATTGATTATTGTTTGTTTAAGCGATCCAACGATAGCAATCACATTTATTGCGTATAATCAATTAATTAATTACACATACTTCCTCATCTGTTAGCCGTTCTCCCCGAGTAGCCAAGATATCTCGCAATTTCGTTGTATTGATTATCCCAGAATTCAACTCACCGCCTTCCTCAAGATTAGAAAATGCTCTCAGCAGCTCCTCTTCAGAATCGGTGGCAGACAACTTATTTGCCATCATTGTCAAAAATGTGGCAAAGTTTATGGAATTTCCGGATGTAGAATCTGCTAACATGGTGTCGATGTACGCGTCGGTGGGAGCTTGGCCTATCGATTTAATACACTTTAAAGAGACCGCATTTTCGTAACGTCATGCCAAAAACATCAAGGAACTATATTTACCTAACGAAGCCAGCATATCCCTTAAATCTTCTCGATCTATATATCCATCACCATCTACGTCCAATAACGCAAACGTCTCTTTGAATTCTATAATTTGTTTTTGGTCAAATTTCGAGAAGATGTTCGAAGTTTGACGGCGAAGACGATTGTGGTGGTGGTGTCCGTCAGGTCGCATATACGAAGAGCTGGACGCGAAGTATGTGAGAGGTGAATTCGAATTTTCAAGAGAGGAAGATTGCTGTTGCTTGCGAATTGAAAGACTATATATATGAGACAACATTCAAACTTCAAACTACGAAAGTTAAAAATGAACAAGAGACAAACCATGTTTAATTTTTAGTAAGTAAAGAAGCACTTGTCACTCCTTCCCCTTAATGTCAAGATATTGAGAGATAAAGGGAGTTTCGCGTTATTGCTGTTACACGCACACTTAACACCATACTTGGCATGAGTCATGAGTTAGATTGACTCGGAATGAGACTACAGATGTTAATTCAATGTCAACATGAGTCATTATTACCAACCACATCAATTTAAAATTCAGCATAAAAATGGTAATCTTCCCCGTGCCAAAAATTTCGCATCTTATCTTTTTGCAAAAAAGAATCAATTAACATGTCTTTTACGCGAATCTCAACGCTCTGCCGTTCAGCAGCCAAAAAAACGATCGCTACGTATCGGGTTGAATTTTCCTTTGCACACAATTCATATTCATCAAAGCTTCCCTATTCATTTTCACCTTTATGCCACAAACGAAACTCCAGTACAACGACGTCGTCGCCAGTTCAAGATAAATTAATCATTTTTGATACAACTCTTCGGGATGGAGAACAGGTATTTATTAATAATAGACCTTTTTTCACCTTATTATTTTATTATTAGAACGACGCCAAATAATCTACATTCTCCTTTTGTAAGTCAAAAATTTACGCGCGATCAACTTACCAAGAAAATGATTTGTTATTCAATTAGTCACCTGGTGTCACACTCACGGTTGATGAAAAAGTCGAAATTGCTCGGCACCTATCTAATTTGGGTGTTGATATAGTTGAAGCCGGTTTTCCAATAGCATCTCAAGGGGATTTTGAAGCAGTTGCACGCATCGCTAAAGAAATCGGTCCATTGATGACTGGTCGAGAAAAGATCGGCAAACCTATGGTAAAAGACCCTTCTTAATCAGCGTAACGCCTTCTTTTTCTTAGTTTTTTGTTTAAATAAATTTGATCAATTCCAGAGAATCGCGGGTCTTTCACGCGCAACCGAAAAAGACATAAAACGCTGTTACGAAGCTGTTTCACAAGCACCATTGCATCGAATTCACACATTTCTGGCAACGTCCGACATCCATCTTAAATATAAACTTCAAATAAGTCGCGAAGAATGTATCAAACGAGCGGCAAAAGCAGTCGCATATGCCAAAAGTCTATGCGAGGATGTTGAATTTAGTACAGAAGATTCGGGCCGAAGTGATCGGGACTTTTTATGCTTGATTCTTGGAGAGGTCATCAAAGCTGGGGCGACTACCTTGAATATTCCGGATACGGTTGGGTATACCACTCCAGAAGAGTATGGCGCGTTGATAAAATATTTGGTTGAAAATACACCTGGAAGCGATAAGGTATTTTATAGAAAACAATTTTATTTTATATCAGCAAATCCGATAAATATTCCAATTGTATTAATTTTAGGTTATATGGTCGACCCATTGTCATAATGATTTGGGTCTTGCGACTGCTAATACTTTATCTGGTATTACTAATGGTGCTAGACAAGTTGAAGTAACAATTAATGGTATAGGCGAACGAGCTGGTAAGAATCATTTCATTCTCAATTTTTTAAGACAAAAAATGCAATTAAAATATGCTGAAACTCAGATAATGAAAATATATTCAAGGTAACACTTCACTTGAGGAAGTTGTCATGGCGATTCAAACCCACCCGAAATTCTATCCAGTCTATCACACAATCAACACGCCTCTTATCTATCGAACTTCGACTCTGGTCTCTTCTCTGTCAGGGATGCCAGTACAACCCAACAAAGCTATCGTAGGAACAAACGCATTCCTCCACGAATCCGGAATCCATCAAGATGGTGTACTGAAACACAAGCAAACCTATGAAATTATACGTCCAGAAGATGTTGGCATCTTCAATGTAAATATCGTGCTTGGGAAACTTTCAGGTCGTAACGCTTTTCGGTCTCGTCTCGTCGACCTTGGCTATGGCAATCTAAATGATAATGAATTCCAACAAGCATTTGAGAGCTTTAAAACGTTGGCAGACTCTAAGAAACGTATTACAGATCACGATATCTTGGCTCTTATTTCAGATCAAGTATCCAAAGGATCAACACCAGAATCTCAACGATTCAAAATACAATCGCTTCAAGTGGTTTCTGGCGTTCACGATATGTCAACAGCAACGGTAAAACTATTTGATGCGTTGAAGAGTAAAGAATTAATAGATGCTGCGATAGGAAAATCTGGCCCAATCATGGCAGTTTTTGGTGCAATCCAACGTTTGGTGCAACGAAAAATTCGTTTGCTGCAGTATGATGTGCGTGCAGTCTCGGAGGGAATGGACGCTTTGGGTAAAGTTTCTCTGAAAATCACCGAGGATACAGATACATCAGGCATAGAAACAGAATTTCTCGGAGGAGGACATACTATTGACGGAGAAGTAAAACCTAAGACCGACTCAAAAGGTCAACCGAAATTGACAAAGAGTACATATAGTGGACATGGGACTGATGTGGATATAGTTTCGGCCAGTGCAAAGGCTTATGTTAATGCAATTAATAGATTGTATGAGGAAGAAATCAAAGAAATGTCGGGTATGCGGAGAAGTCTTCCCGAAGAAAGACTAGCTAATATTTAATAATAGAGAAATAAAACATAATATTTTTACTTTGCTCGATTTATTATTGTTATTATTATTATTATTTTTTGGACATGCTAAAGTGTAATTTAATATTATTATTGGTAGCAGTTTGTAAAATAAAACTATTTTTTCCTCCTTTTAACTGTATTCCAGTTACGACTTGCTAGGCTGGCTGTTTGGATCCCTATTACTGTGGTCAGATGATGGCTTCTTCCTAGTCCGTTTCCTAGGTAGATTGCTTGTTGGTTGATCGCTTGTTGGTTGAATTGGATGTAAAAGTTTCAGCATTTGATAATATGCTGCTACCTCAAGATCTAATAGTTTTTTGTCGAGATTATACCATGAGCTCTCATCATGCTCTTTTAGGAGCATCGCAACGAGTGCTTTCTCGTACATTGCATCCACTTTTTTTTCTTCAGCGTCAAAGTCATTATCATTTTTTATCCAAAAATTCATGAGCTGTTCTTCGGTTTGATGCTGTCGAGCTTCTTCCGGAATCGGTGTGTTTGTATCTTGTGTATCCTTTGATGAGAAATGTACGTCCATGTGCTTGTCATTTTTTTGGACTGCAGTACGAGAATTTTTCATTACAAGCTCCATGTTTGGATATTGGTTGCCGGTATAAGATGGTCCAGGGACTACTGGTTCACGATTTCCCATTACAAAACCCATGTTTGGATATTGGTTGCCGGTATGAGATGGTCCGGGGACTACTGATCCACGATTTTCCATTACAAAATTTATGTTTCGATATCGGTTGCCGGTATAAGATGGTCCAGGGACTACTGGTTCACGATTTTCCATTACAAAATTTATGTATGGATATCGGTTGCCGGTATAAAATAGTCCAGGGACTACTGGTTCACGATTTCCCATTACAAAATCCATGTTTGGATATTGGTTGCCGGTATAAGATGGTCCAGGGACTACTGGTTCACGATTTCCCATTACAAAATCCATGTTTGGATATTGGTTGCCGGTATAAGATGGTCTGGGGACTACTGGTTCACGATTTCCCATTGCAAAATCCATGTTTGGATATTGGTTGCCGGTATAAGATGGTCCGGGGACTACTGGTTCACGATTTCCCATTACAAAATCCATGTTTGGATATTGGTTGCCGGTATAAGATGGTCCGGGGACTACTGGTTCACGATTTTCCATTGCAAAATCCATGTTTGGATATTGGTTGCCGGTATGAGATGGTCCGGGGACTACTGGTTCACGATTTTCCACAAAATTCATGTTTGGATATCGGTTGCCGGTATAAGATGGTC